CACCCGTCGGTCGGTGGGTTCCTGACGCACTGCGGGTGGAACTCGACCATAGAAGCGGTGTGCTCGGGTGTGCCCATGATCACGTGGCCCATGTTCGCCGAACAATTTTTGAACGAGAAATTGGTTGTCGAGGTTTTGAGAATTGGGGTTCGGGTTGGAGTCGAGCTGCCCGTCAGGTGGGGGGAGGAGGAGAGAGTCGGGGTGTTGGTGGGGAAAGAAGGGGTTGGTAGTGCCATAGAGACGTTGATGGGCGGAGGAGAAGAGGGGGAAAAGAGGAGGATGCGGTCGGAGGAGCTAAGGGCGGTGGCGAATTGTAAGATGGAGAATGGTGGGTCGGCTCATCGTAATATATCGACTTTGATTCGAGACGTTATGGAGCATCAAGCCCAAGTTAGGCATTGAGGTGTGATATATCTCCCCTAATGTATTTATTACGAGTTGAGCCTACGCTTCGAATGATGATATTACAATTTATTTAATGCTTTGTAATTAGATTTTTGTATATACATTATTGCTTTGGAATCAGATTTAGTATTTGCCATAAATTTTGTGCAATTTTGATAAGTATGTATTTATTTTTGTCCCATTTTTCTCTTTCTCAACTCAAATTTTACCATGCAAAATTGATATTATTTACTCCGATTTATTTCATTTCTTGAACTCCATTTTTTTTTATCATATTTTAGATGTTAGCGACTTTTTTTTATTTGTATTCTATTTTTCAAATATAATTTATCAAATTAATCATATTGTGACGGTCTACGTCATTTAACATCCATATCTATATACAAATTTAAAATTAATGTCATCTATGTTTATAAAAAAATGAATTTATTTATCAAATAAAACTAATAAATACAAATGGAACTATATTTATCTTAATATATATATTTAATTTTTAAACATTTTTTAATTAAACGGCCGCGCGCGACCGCAAAAAGAAAGGTCGGCGGCCGCTCGTGGCCAACAACAGTGTGACCACAAAAATGTGTTTTAGGTGTTTTAGGGGGAGGTAGGTAGTAAAAGAAAGACGTATTTAGTAATTCATATAAAAAATCTACAAGGACAAGTATGCATTTACATCATACTTTGAAACTTGGACCAACCAAATGGCCCCGCCGGAGATCTCTTCGACCTGAAACCCACTGGTATGGGTGGGTTGTTCGGACTAAGTACAAGGGTCAAACCCAGTCTTGACTTGATTCATATTGATCGGTCATTTAATAATTTTTTTTTTTGCTTTTTACCTTTTATTTTTAAAATAAAATTATGTGTGATATTTATGACAAAATATAACATTATTAAGACTTTGGTGTATAAAAATTACCTAACAAATAATTTATTTTATCATTTTATGCATAGTTATATGATAAAATAATATAAATATCTGTTCAACAATTGATCAAGTGATTTTTTTGGACTAATGCTTATGAGTTGAGATTGGGACGATCACCGATAAAAGTTATAAAATTATGATTTGCATTATAGAAAAAAAGTATATTCCTTTATGGAATATAGTTTAATTAATTTTTTTTTTTTTCAGCTGCCATAGTATTTGTGACATCGCATCTTCTACAATTAATCTTTCGGTGTTTCTTTAAACCGAAGTGGTTGGGTCAACTGGTTTCTAGAACCAGACCGAATGGATCCTTTTGAAATATATATTGTATTTTTTAGACCTTTTTTTTTTAAATAAAATTATATATATGTGTGACAAATGTTTATGTATAAGATTCAATATTATTAAGATTTTGATGTTTAAAAATTTGCATACATGCTATTTATTTCAATATTTATGCATTGTTATATGAAAAATATCTCTACTATACATATAAGCAAACAATGGGGGACAATTCTCGGACTGACACGTGTCCTTTTTTGACGAAATTGTCCTTCATCTTATCCATTTATTATAGTTTTGCCATTGAATTTATTTATTTATTAAATTGGTCACATTGGTCGTCACTTCCCGCATTTCACGCATAAGTTACCTGTGACTGAATGGAGAAGAACTTTTTTCCTTCCTCTCTGCTGCAAAAACGTTTGGTCTCCCACCCACTCCATTTGACTCTCTCTTTTCAGATGAAAAAAAAATCTTCGCTGTTTTCCACCATCTCACTTCCTCACAAACACAAATTCTTATCCCTAATCTCAAACTAGCAATCACTACACAGCAACTGAAAAACTCCAATGAACTACCCCTAGAGGCCGATCTATATGGCGGTCCGCGGCCGAACGTACGACGGGATCATCCGCGCGCTCGTGAAGTTGGGAAAGGACGGAAGTGACGTCGTACCCTAACTCGACGGCCTCATGGAGAAGGAAGCTGATGCGGCTGACGCGAAACCGACAACGACCTACCAGCTTTCAGCTCAAATTGGGCGGCTTCATCTTCAAAGGTCTTTTGTTGATTTTTGTAGGTTTTATCTTCTATAAATTTTTACTCGTTTGCATCTGCCTATGGGTCTATATGTATTGATATTTTGGTTTTCAATGATTTGCGGATGAGAAAAGATTGCTTTTTTTATTTGGCCCCCAAATCAATGTCAAAACCCCTAATCGGGAATGGTTCTTAATGGTGCTCCATGAGATGAACTTAATGAGCTGACCCCAAGATCACAATTTTAAAATGGTAGCACATATACGTAGATTCCGGATGACAACCAACACCTTGCCATGATCGACAACTCCTGCATCCACCCAGAGAGTGAAAAATGTATGGCCAAAGTGAATAGTATATCCGACAAATACTGGGACCTTTACACGTATAGTCTATTCTCCAAATACTTACTTTTTTGTTTCTTTTACGTCAATTTATAAGGCTATGTTACTGATTTTAGATAAATGCATTTTGCTAGAGCATGCTTCAGGATCTCCGATTTCGGCGCCATCACGATGTTCCGGGGGCGTAATTGGTTTCACCTCCATCTCCGATATCTGTTTGTTTTCATTATCCATGAATTTAGGAAAAACACAATCGAGTTTGACCTGTGAAAATCTCATAGTATCATGTCTATCGAATTTTACGTATTTATTTATTTTTAATTTTGAGTTGTTATCATGGTTTGTTGATTGTTGAGTTAAATTGTGCAGTACAAGGGTCTGCTCGTGTCGCACAATCGATTGCAAAATATGAGGAACATTCAGAATGATCTGAAACAAATCTCAATGGCCATGATATAAGCTCAAAATTTTATTGCACATATGCTTTTGGAAATGAATTAGTATCTGTTACCTTGCATCTTGTATTTTAGCAATCGATAAAATTGTCTTATGAATGAAAATAAGGACATAGAGTTACAAATCAGTATGTTAATTTGTGTAATAAAATGGAAAATAGTTTATAAGTTAACTATAGAATAAGTTGGACCATAGATACTTGCTTACTTAGGAGCTTAGTTTTATGTCTTATAAACTCTTTAGAAAAACTGTGATGTTAATCATCGTATAAAAGTTTTCGTGTGCGAATGTGCGACCTCTGATGAACACTTTTTTTTGTGGAAAAAAAAAAGGAAAACCTGTCTTAGAAATAATATATGTTTCACCTATATAATGGAAATGCATATCTTTGCATTATGCTTTCATCAAGGTTTTCGTTTGGATAACAATAATG